AAGCTTTGTTTCAAAGTCCTGGCACATCTGCAAAGGTATAATAAACACAATTCGAGAATGAAAAACAGACAAGATGTACTTAAATTTTTTGTATATTCATGTGTAACACCTCTGCTGTAACATATTATTTATAGCTATTATGTCATCTGTGACTCCGTTTCCATTTTAGTAAGTGATATATTTTTGTGGTTTCCTAGAAGAATGATCAGGCTGACTCCTTCAAAGAAATCACCAGTGAAAAAACATAAATGGACCTTTGAGGAGAATAAAAAAGCTCTGATCGAGTTCATATCTATTGCCAAAACAGATCCAAAGTATGGAGAAATGTTGTCCATAATAAAATAAAATAACAACAATTAATGCGGGTCATTGGATATATTGCATGTCAACACAAACAAAGTACATTTGCCACATATTTTCTATGGATATTCTACTTTCTTTAAGAAGACTCAGATAGAATGACAAATAAACTATAATAATCTGTTCCTACATATGAATTTAGTCATAAACAGAAGGGAATATATCAAAATAAATTTATGAGATCTGCTGTGTTGGTGTAATGTACTCAGGTGAATAAGATGTTTGTGTGATGTTACTCTGAGTGTATATCCACACCGGGCAGGCTTGAAAAAATATGCCTGGCCACGGCGGGATTCAAACCTACGACCTTTGGAATACTAGCCCAATGCTCTTCCAACTGAGCTACGCGGTCAGGACGGTTCGAGTAAGCGATATTTCGGAACTGAGTCTAGTTCCTTCGATGTCAGTGTAATCTAATATTTTTTTTATATAGATTAGATTACACTGATATCGAAGGAACTAGACTCAGTTCCGAAATATCGCTTACTCGAACCGTCCTGACCGCGTAGCTCATTTGGAAGAGCATTGGGCTAGTATTCCAAAGGTCGTAGGTTCGAATCCCGCCGTGGCCAGGCATATTTTTCAAGCCTGCCCGGTGTGGATATACACTCAGAGTAACATCACACAAACATATCAAAATAAAGTTCAAAATTTTAGGATATTTGACACTTTTGTTTTGAAATTCCGGAGCCTGGGGACGAAAATATATTTAATAAGCAAATGTCACCGGATATTTTGCCATGATTCTGAAATGCTTTGTCTGAAGCTGGGGTGCCTTACGGTAGAGTTATCCACTGCAACATTGTTGCAGTTCGTTGAATGATTTTTGTATTAATAATGATAACAATATTTTGAAACATTAAATACTCAGTAGAATCTCTTATTTCAACGCAAATTATTTCTATATTTCTGCAACAGAGCATGCACACACATAAATGTATATGCTATACATATATACATACATTTGAAATATATGACAATTGGAACAGCAGAACTACTCTATAACCGGAGTCAATGTCTAAGCGCATTTTACAATGCAAATATGCACTTTACTGTCGAAAACACAATCACAGACCAGTGGTAGTAAGTTGCTACACATTATTGAACTATTAATACACATTACAAATCACAACATTGACTGAGTAACTTATATTGTGGGATTTGCGTTTACCCTGCCATTTACGTCACCAAATGTATTTTATGCATAAATTAGCATACGCTGAATTTTCCCAAGATGTCGGATGACTGTTAAAATTTGTTAAACATTTTCATAAATTTTCTGAACAACTAAATGCAATGGGAAAAAACCAAAAATATTAGTAAGCTTAATGAATACAGACAATAAAAAATTTGTTGCCATTGTCCTTTAAAAGTATCTGGATCTTGAGGTTGAATTGCTTGAGAAGATGGCAATGGCAGAATATCAAAATCCCATCAAATAATATTCGCAAAGATCAGAGATTGTCCTGTTCCATCTTGCCTGAGATACTGAGGTCAGAGAACTGCAACATATGAAAACAATCTTCAGTTTCACCCTTTAACTCTTTATCGACAAGGGACATTTTGACGATTTTACAACTCAATTGATTATAATGTAAATATCTCAGCACGTATTCACCCCCCTTTGAAACAAAGATCCTAATAAAATAACCTTTTCAACAGGGGGTCAAATGCCGTCAAAGCATTACACAAACCGAAACAATCATATATTTTCTCACCGCTTGGCCAAACATTTGGAATTTCGTTTCCACAATAGCGTAAATAACTTGTGAATTCTTCAGAGTTCGCCACAAATCAATACGAGTTAAATATTCCTTGTATTCAAGCGCTTTTATATCCAAAATTTCATTTGAATACAGCCAGTAGAAATGTTTATTTTGAGTTTTTAAAAATATCAGGTTTTTCTTGTTTTTTTCTCGCACACATGTGCCACATGCTAAAATTGGTGAATAAGAAGTACCCGTAGCCCGATGCACGTGCAAATCATGCTGCAGTTGACCTTTAGACAGCTGCAATTTGACCTTTAGAATCGATTTCCGACGTTTCCGAGCGCTAGGATGTAAACACACAATGTTTTGGCAAATCTAAATCGCATTTCCAGTCAAAAAATATCCCGCTGACTTCACTAATATCACAACAGAATGAAATATCGAAATAAGAGACGAAAAATTGAAAAATTAAACGAGACTTACCTGTAAGGTGGTGAAGTTTGATTTTGGTTCTGCGAATCATTGGTCTGGAGCTATAGGAGTCATGTGGGAGCACGTGAACCAGATGGATCAGTATTTAAAACAAGCCTGGAGCACTCGTACCAAATATGGGTTGGGAAAAAAACATTTGGGTGGGCACATGACTCCTGTAGCTCCAGACCAATGATTTGCAGAACCAAAATCAAACTTCACCTTACAGGTAAGTCTCGTTTAATTTTTCAGTTCTGCTTCATCATTGGTCATTGT